GTGCAGTTCTGGACACAGTACTCTAGATCAGTGGTTCTCAAATGTGGCTCCCCAGATGTTCTTGGACTTCAACTCCCAGAAATTCTTGCTGGCACAGCAAGTGGTGAAAGCTTCTGGGAAATGCAATCCAAGAACATCTGGTGACCCTGATTTGAGAACCAATGCTCTAGATCAGTGGTGTTGAACTGTGGCCCTCCAGATGTTCTTGGACTTCAGCTCCCAGAAGCCTTCACCACCACCTCTGCTGGCCAGGATTTCTGGGAGTTGAAGGCCAAGAACATCTGGAGGGCCACAGTTCGACACCACTGCTGTAGATGAAGCCTAACCAGTGCTGAATAGAGGGGAACTAGTTCCCCACTGGATTTAGAGAAATTCTACTGCTAAGGCATCCTAAAATTGTATTTGTCCTTTTTTTGCAGCCACACCACACTGTTGGCTCATATTCAGCTTTTAATATATAGCAATTACAAGATCCTTTTCATTCATAGTATTGCTGAGTGAAGTATACCCCATCTTGAAACTGTGCATTTGGTTTCCCCCCCTAGCTGTAGAACTTTGAATTTCATCCTATCAAGATCTTTTTGATTTTTTTCCCAGTCTTCCAAGGTATTAGCTCTTGCAACCAAAGTTGTGTCATGTGCAAATCTGATAACTATTCCCTGCACTCCCTCGTCCAAGTCATTAATAAAAATATTGAATAGCACCAGGCCCAGGACTAAGCCATGAAGTGTCCCAGTTGTTATCTTTTTCCACTTTGAGGAGTCATTGATAAGCACTCTCTGAGTACGATTCTGTAACTGTCTATTTACTTGACTCTTGTTTTATCCAGCCCACACCTTGTAAGTTTGCTATTAAGAATATCATGAGCACTTTGTCATTGACTTTGCTGAAGTCAAAATATATTATGCCTACAGCATTTCCACCTTCCAACAGGGGCATTACTTGATCAAAAAATGAGGTAAGATTTGTATGGCAGGATTTGTTCTTGACCGATCCATGTTAGCTTCTATTACTGCATCATTTTCAAGGTGCTTGAGTATGGAAAAGTATGGACTGTCTTTGGGGTAAAGACCAAGCTGAAGTAGAAATTGACCATTTTTGCCTTTTTTTTTCATTTATCATTATTCCATCCCCACGAAGTAGCTGAGTCACTGTTCTTTTTTCTGTCTTTTGCTGTACACGTACATGAAGAACGTTGTTTTGTTGTTTTTAGCATCTCTTGGTAACCTCAGCTCATTCTCAGCTGGAAGGAAGGTGAATAATAGGAAGCAAATAAGAGAGATTCTGGGAGAAGTGACAATTTCATGGTTAAATGGAAAATAAAGGAAGGAGAGGGTAGACCAGTAATGAAATAGAAAGAGGACAATAAGTGTAATATATAAGATGCTAATACAGGCAGAGTATAAAATAATAGCATAAAAAAGTGTGGCAATGAGATTTGGCTAAAGAAATTAAAGGAGAGGATAGAAATAAAATGTGGAGTAAAAGAATAATGAAACATTTTTCTGTATAGACTAAAGAACACTGTTATAATGTACTGTGGAGATGGTGGTGGCGCTGCAGGTTAAACCGCAGAAGCCTCTGTGGTACAAGGTCAGAAGACCTGCAGTCGTAAGATCGAATCTATTTTTGGTATGTCAGAAAGTGAAGGGGCACACCCCTGTAGATGAATCACTATCAGAGATGGGAGTATTTGTATACAAATATGAATATCCCCATGCAGCTGGACCTAACAAGGGTCCACCCCTGGGGCCAAACCGCCCACTCATGCATCCTGCGACAGTGCTGGTCCCACTCATATTTCCAGTTGCACCTGGAGCACCACTTTCTTCCTGTTCGGCTCGCCACTCATCAGCCGTGCAGGGAGACTTGCCCTCTCACCCCCTGCCTGATGTGGCCAGCCAAGAGGAAGAGAGTGATGCTCTGGGCGTGATTGGATGGATGAGAGGGACTGGTGACACAGCAGAACGTGTGAGTGGACAGTCTGGCCATGAGGGGCACACCCTTGTTTAGTCCAGCTGCGTGGGGACGTTCATATTCATATATGAATACCCCCAACTCTAATCACTATATTTCTGGAGAAAAATGGGGTGCTATTAAACATGAAGCAAAACAAATATGTAAACTAGTCCTGAGGTTGGTGGGGAGCACAGAATTGAAAATATATGTTAAAACTGTGCTTTTAAATTTTTATTTCTATGTGTGCATATATAAGTTGTTGTTACATTATTGAAAATGAATGCAATTTTTTTAAAAAGCATATGGCATATACGTTAAGGTAGTATGCTAGGGTATGGCCATCTGAGTGGTGGACAACTGGCCTCACACATGACTGACCCTATCTGGAACTGTTCCCCATTGTAGGATTCCTTTGGTTGTGGTTGGAGAAGTGGGTGGACTCAGTGGTCACATTCTGGTGCCACAACCTGATGGTTGTCCACATCATAAACTCCCTTACCTCCAAATTGCACTGGCACATAGCGCTGGTCTATGCATTTACATTGTGCTGCCTGCATTAAAAGATAGTGTCCATGCATGGCACATTCCTAGGATGGATAATACAATAACTGTATTGAGCAGTTCAGGGCATTTGCTCTAGCAGCCCCAGGAGTGGCCTGAAGTCCTTCCAGCAGAGGCCTGGTGGCTTGGAGGGGGGAGGCTGGCTGTGCCATAGCTATGGCACTGGGTTCCAGCACATGGGGTGGTTACACCTTGGCTGACTTCCATGTGTAGAAGATGATAGAGGGTTGGAGTAGTGAATATTTGGCAGTTAGGGGAGAAGATCAGGGACCCCTTCTTTGACATACAGATGTTCCCCCCTAAGTTCCAATTTAGAAACTAACCTCTGCCATGTTGCAGCAGGCTGGGCTTCATGGCTGGTGTTTCAGCACCCACTCTTTTCACATTGGGGCCATCTGTATGGCAGATGCCTTGGGGAATGATGCAAAAGGTTTTAAGAGGATGGGGAAGTGGTCCTCCTCCAGATTTTAATCTTATATTTTCCCCCTGTCACAGTTGGAGGTGAGGCGCTGGCTGTGTTTTTTCCTCATCTCGTAGGATTCTTGTTGCTGAATGCATGGCTGCGGATCGTAACTCTGTGGGCAGTTTTGTATATTAGGCCACCAGGTACACAGCATGTTCTGCTGGGGGGGGGCAGAACTTGAGCCTTGAAATTTGGGCCCTTTTGGATTGGGTTGATGTAACTGGCCTCCCAAGGTCCTCCAGAGATGCCCCCTGATATTTTGACGCTTCACCTCAGTGCGAACAACTTGGCCAGTCAAACTGGCAAGTCACTGATTTTGCAAACAAACAGATCAGGACCTGCATACCTGGAAGGTCAGGTGTTTTGGGCCTCGAATTCTGTGATCCACCATTATTCCATTCCTTGTGAGGCAGGCTGACTGTGATCCCCAACTCATTAATTGGGCCTGGCATGGAGTTAACCAGGAGGTTTGCGGGGCTATTATGGATGGTTTGGGCTCAGTGGTGGGAAGTCCTGACGTCCAACTGGATCATCTGGAGCTATTCAGAGGTGATGGGGTCTATATCTACAAGGTGGGCCTGGACATTTATCTGGGTGATTTACAGAGGGGCATGCAAGCTGAGATTTGAGTGGTTGGGTTCTGGAGCATACCATAGGCTAGTTCAGAAGGGAAAATTAGTGGTGAGTTCCCAGTCAGGCAGCTGGGGGTGCTAGACCATCCAACCTGCTGGATCCTGAGGTCATGATGATGGGAGGGGAATGTATAGTGGGCCTCCTCGGGTTGTGGGCCACATATGTCATAGTACTGGGAGGCCAGCAAATAGAGAGGCCATTCAATCATTAGTCAGCTTGAGGACAGCACATCTTCAGGGCTTTGGACTCACACATTTCAGGTTAGAGTGGAGATCAGGTGGATCAGATTCCACATTATGGCAGGCCCCTCCCCTGTATAGATTGGGAGTGTTGAGTTCTCTGTTTCATAGTTTTGTGGCCCTAATTTTCAACCTAGCCCCTTTGTCTTGCCTCTTTATTCCAGGTTGGGAGGGCAAGGGTTGCCTCCACTGAGCGCTGGTAGGGGCTGTTTGCCTCATCTCCTCTAGAAGGGAGGCTAGCATGGGATGCATTGTGTTCCATGCCTGTGAAGGGGCAAGGCCAGAGCACCTTATTTGAGACGACCTGGCTCCAGTCTTGGCCTCCTTCACGACTTACAACCCACCTGCCTGTCCCAGGAACTCTGTGTGAGTCCATCTGGTTGCCTAATGGGCAGTATAGGAATTTTTTTTTACCTTCTCACCCAAATGGCTGAAAGTGGACAGGAGATGTTTGCCTATCCCATGCTGGTATTTGCACTTAGGCACTACTGGATCAATCTGGGTGGCGTCTCTCCTTTAAATAACTCACACTGGTGAATAGTGCAGGATGGGGATGTATGGGGACTTCCACGGGCCCATAGGTCAAGGCACTGGGCAGCTGGTGGGCTGGGGAATCATTTGATTCTTGACCTGTCCAAGATGGGCTGTTTTAGGGACAGCAGGTCTTTGGAACTTGGGACTCACCTGTTTAAATTTAGAGTGGAGCTCAGATGGGAACCCTGGCTCCAGGCCAGGATTCTGCACTATGGTAGGCTCCTCCCCTGTACAGATTGAGAGGGTTAAGTTCTATATTTAATCAAGTTGCAGCCCAAATTTTCAACCCATCACCTGTGTCCTGCCTCTTTACTCTGGGTTGGGTGAGCAAAGCAGTATCATGGAGGCAAAATCATCCTGCTGACAGAGATTTTAGAAAATTAAAGACTTCACATTGTCCCATAGCTCTGAAGAACTTCCCCATGATGCAATGGGTCAGCCACAAGAGAACTCAGGACATATCAGAAGGGATGGGAACTGGAATTTTTTAATTTCCTAAAAAGCATCCCTGCTGGTGATATAATCCGTCTTATACATTGTAAATAAAAACAGCAGAATTTTCAGCCAATGTATCATAGACTGTTTTCATTGTACAGTAATAAAGAAAGTCATTTTTGCTACTAAGTGCTTTTATTGTTACTTTTCAGATATAAACAAAATCCTCACAGGTAAAAATATTCACTTGCAGTACATACGGCCATCTAGCACTGCTAGTTCCCATTGGTAGTTCATATGTACAATGTTTGCATTATAGTATCTTTTGTCCTCCTTTAAGGTTGAATTTGCATTGTTTTAAGATGAGTTATTTAAAAAGTTGGGTGGACTAATACATAAGCTTTTGTATAACTTCAGCTTCAATAAATTTGTAGGCTTTTCTTCCATAAAATGTTTTCAATATTCATAATAATTCACTGTGAGCAACTGCATAAAAACCATGAAAAAGGCATTTGTAAAAATCTTGATGAATTTAATTACTTGATAAGTGATCAATGATTCTGAAGGATGATATGCTGGTTAAAAATCTTGGTTGCACGGTTCTCTTCTGTCATCTTATGCCTATCAAATACAAAGAAAACAGTGAATAAAGAAGGTTAGATGCCTAGATTGCATGCAATTACATCTGTGTAGATATCTCTTGGTCTGCAAGAAAACATGTTACAGGAATGAGAAGAAATTGTTTCTATGCACAAGCAATAGTATATGACTCTATTAACATAGTTGTACCTTAGTCACATCAATTTCAATATTTTGAGGCATTAAGCCAAGAAACTAATGGTATTAGCATGACTGAAGACACGGAGATCATGCTGTTTATGAAAATAAATATTTAAATGCTCCCAACATTCCACGGTGCTCAGTTCTTTATTTACCATCAAGAATAACTGTATTGTAGTACATTCAAAGATTGCAAACTCTTTGTATGTTGATATAAGCTAGCATTGTAGGATATAGTTCTGATCTATGTTGAAAAAGTCAATCTTTTCTAAAGGAATGCTTTCAAACACCGGTTCTTTCACTTGTTGGATAATGACACTTAATATGAAAAATTACTATAGATATGGCCTTCTGATGCTAACATTTCTGACATTTCCACCTATTTCTCAATCTGTATGGCACACCTTTAGCCATATCAGCTACCTATCAAGGATGACATCATTTGCTTCTGTGTCAAAGAAAGCAAATGTATCCAACACAAACATATCTGCTATTGTTTTTACCCAGGAGAAGACTATTTACAAGTCCAGGACAGGTGACACAGTTTCAAATCATGTTTTTATTTGCCAGTATAATTTAATATCTGCAATGGAACTAGGTTTGAGAGGAAATGAATAGGTTTTCAAACTTTTTGTTGAAGTTTTGTTAAAGAAATACTTCACTGTAGTCTATGAGAATGATGCACTGGACAGGTGTATCAAATGTGTGTTGGAAATGTGAAGCACAAGTGGGAAGCTAACTGTTTAGGACCTTGATACTTGGCGGAACGCTTACTCCCAACTAGTTCTACCCGTGTCACCTGCACGAGCCAGGAGGTGAGGCTGAGGAGCCTGACGCTGAGGGAGGCCCGGAAAGAACTAGAAACCGGTCTTTCTCGGCGGTGGCTCCTCATCTCTGGAATAACCTACCTCCGGAGATTGGCGCTGCACCCTCGCTGGGTACTTTTAAGAACCAACTAAAAACATGGATGTATAGGCAGGCCTTCCCTTCCAGTTAATTCCTGTCCTCTTTCCTTTTTTTCTCTCTTTATTTGATTTATTTTTATTTTTCCCATCTTATAGAATCATTTAATTAATTAATTGTTATAAATTTTTAAAGAACTTGTTATCCTTATGTTGTAAGCCACCTAGAGTGGTCGAAATGACTAGATAGGCGGGGTATAAATACAATAAATAAATAAAAAAATATTATCATATGTGGTGGTCATTGGAAAAGAGTACATGCTATATTGCAACAAATATTGCTTTGTAAGGTGCCATTAACCCCAGAACTGTTTTTATTGAGTATGATACCTGATAACATAGATAAGACAAAGGAATATATAGTTATATATATAGTTATTGCAGCCAGAATTCTCTATGCCAAAAATTGGAAAAGTCCAATGGTACTGAAACAAGAAGATCTTATAGAGAAGATACAGGAAACAGCGGAAATGGACATTTTATCAGAAGTGATGAAGGACTGTCCTTTACAAAAGGCAACAGAAAGATGGGACTTATTCTACAAATGGACTGAGTCAACAGGCAGCGTATGGAGAGCATACATTGAAATGAGAACTTAAACTTGGAAGGCAGAAAATAGTAAAAAGAGTAATTTGGAATTTTGATATGGCAATATTTATAGAATGGACATTAGTATGTTATTGTTTCTCCTCTTCCCATTTAACCTCAATTCCCCTTTTCCTTTTTGTCATCCCTTGTTTAAAAAAAAAATTAAAAAAAGAACGATGCACTGGGATCACCATAACTCCACCATAATTTCTGACAATTCCAGGTAATCTTAGAGTTAGTACTAAGAAATATTTTAAAATATTGCTCTAAATAAGTTCTAAAATGATTTAAATTAATTTAAATATGTTTTAAAGATATTACCTATTAATGACTTATATGTATTACCATTAGACATGAGGAAGAACAAAAAAAGAATCACCATATTTGTTAAAAATTGCTGATTTTTAAATTTATTTATTTATTTACTCTAGACAGAGTTATAAAACATCATAAAAATAATCATCATAAAACAATCACATAATTAAATCAACAAATTTAGAAGTTCAAGATGGAGAGAAAAAGAAAAACTAAAGAAGAAAAGAATTATGTGTTCACTTGAGGGAAGGCCTGCCTAAAGACTCTTACAAACACCCAGTGAGGGTGCCAGGGTGATTTCCGATGGCAAGGTGTTCCATAGTCGAGAGGCCACTGCCGAGAAGGTGTGGTTTCTTGTTCTTTCTTTCCAGTCCTCTCTTGGCGTTAGGCCCCTCAGCCGTCTTTCTTGGCTAGAACGAGTGACTCGGGTAGATCTAGGTGGGAGAAGGCGTTCTGCCATGTATCAAGGTTCTAAACTTTTTAGGGTTTTATAAGTCATCATTAACACTTTGAAGGTAAAGGTAAAGGTTCCCCTTGACAATTTTTGTCCAGTCGTGTTCGACCCTAAGGGGCGGTGCTCATCCCCGCTTCCAAGCCATAGAGCCAGCGTTTGTCCAAAGACAATCTTCCGTGGTCACATGGCCAGTGCGACTTAGACACGGAACGCTGTTACCTTCCCACCGAGGTGGTCCCTATTTATCTACTTGCATTTGCATGCTTTCGATCCGCTAGGTTGGCGGGAGCTGGGACAAGCGACGGGCGCTCACTCCGTCGCGTGGATTCGATCTTATGACTGCTTGGTCTTCTGACCCTGCAGCACAGGCTTCTGCGGTTTAGCCCGCAGCGCCACCACGTCCTTTTTAACACTTTGAAGTGGATGCTAAATGTGGAGGTTAAATATTCATCCCTTTGTATTTGAGTTCCAGAAACTCTGATGAATACAAAGGGACTAATATTGCTCCATTTTTATTCGTCCCCCATAGGAAGGCTAGCCTTCCCTCCCTGCCTATGGTTTCCCACTTTGCCGATGGGCCTGGCATCAGCTGATTGGCAGGCCCATAAGCAACTGGCCAGTCTCACAGCCATTCACCCCCTACAGTTGGTCCCCTGCCCCTTCCCCTCCCTACCTTAGCAGCTGCCACCATCTGCCACCGCCTGGCAGTGCCGCCATCCATCGCTGCCTGCTGTGATGACCTCCTCAGCCGCAGCCTGCTGTAAGGAACACTGCAAAGATTGTGGCTGCAGCTTCTCTTAGGCAGGGAAGCTGCAGCCGCCATCTTTGCAAAGAGCGGTCCAGATTCCCTTAAGGCAGGCCATAGCAGTGCAGACAATTGAAGCAAGCAGTGGTGGATGGTGGCTGTGGAGGCTGCCATGGCCAAGGCCTCCACAGATGGAGGTGGCAGTGGTGACACAGACTGTGGCAGTCAAGGTAGGGAGGCAGCAGAAGGGGTAGCGGGAAGGGGGGTAGGCTGTGCAGGTGGAGGGGTCACCTTTTTCTTTCCAGCTGTCTAAAAAATTCCCCCGAAGAATCGTCAAACTGATTCATGGTTGGTTGGTTAATGAAGAGGAGATTCGTGGTTCGTGGTTCATCAACTTTGATGGACATCTCTAATTACCATGCTTTGTGAACAAGCCAAGAGTGAATGGGGTTGAATCCACTGCAAGGTCTGCAGGAGATACAATTTTGTGCCTATGGAGTTTTCTCTACCTTTCCTCCCACTCCAATGCATCCTGGTTTTCTTTGTACATCTGGACTTACATGTTATTGGAATAAACTCACTATAAAAATAAGTTTGTCAGGACTAATTAAAGTTCTATCAACTTCATTGGGTCAATCTGAAATCAATGGAAAAAATAGTAATTGACATCAAAGTCTCATCAGTTGCAGTAAGATCTCAGTGTAGCCAATGAGTTAGATAAAACTGATCAAACATACCGACAACATATGATTTTTAAAAAAAGTTTTCTGAACAAGATAAAAATGAGGAGGTTAAGAGTATGGACACATAGAATCTACTAAAATGATGATATTCTGACACTGAATCCAATCATTAGTACACATGAATCCTTAGAACCTGACAGGAGGTGAAAACTTTCCATAAGTTTAAATTAAATGTTTCCAGCGCCTGATCCAGGTTATGCCACCAGACAGTTACGCTAACAGGATTGTGTCCAAGAACAACTAAACGACATATTAAGAATATAGAACTGGCTTTAGACAATGTTAGCTGTACTTAAGTCCCAGTGAAATCAATGGGAACAGTTTGTAATTGATTACAGTCTCAGCAATTTCAAAAGCAAAAAAGCAAACCGTGCTGCTTATATACCACCCTATAGTGCTTTAAGCACTCTCTTTTGGCAGTTTATAAGTTAATTATGCAGGCGACACATTCCCCCCCACCCCCAGCAAGCTGGGAACTCATTTTACCGACCTTGGAAGGATAGAAGGCTGAGTCAACCTTGCGCCGGCTACGTGGGATTGAACCCCGGGTCACGAGCAGAGTTTGGGCTGCAGTACAGCAGTTTAACCACTGCACCATGAGGATACCTATTCAGTGTGTTCTCAGTGTAGTTAACAATTTAGATACAATCAATTGACCACACAGAGAATATAATACTAAAAAACCCATTCTGGAACCAGATTAAAACAAGGGAGTTAAGAGTAAAGTAACATAAAATATTCTAAAATGTTGATATTCTGCTTCTGAATCTAATAGTTCATATGAATCTGCCTATGCATAGTTTTTGTTATCATTTCAGAGGCAGTATTTTTTTTTTAAATCCCACCATTGGTTTTTAAACCATGGCAGAAATGCAGGCAAAGTGCAGCCTGCAAGCTGCATGCATCCCCAGCACTGTTTTGGCAGCCTCTGAACTTTTTCTTGTGCCCGCCATGTCTCTCCCTCTCCCTCCCCATCTGGGAAAAAGTCATGTTGTGTTCCCTGAAGTCTCCAAGGGTATCTGACTTGGAATAAAATGGGGAGCTGTGTTCCCTCCCCAGCCTCTTCCTTTTTTGATTTTTCAGTATTTTTGCACATTTTGGCACATTTCCAGGGATGGTACAGGCTGAGTCCTGGGTGGAAAAACTGAACTTACCTCCTCTTGACCCTTACTGATTTAAAACGCAACACGGGAAAGTGTTGTTGAGAAATATCAATGTAGAAAAACAAGCACTGTACATCATGTGAATATTTTTTGCTAAAATCACTGGAGCACCATTGGAAATAGTTTTCCCATCCACCCACTCCTCTCTCAAACTCAAACAGCCGGAATATTTCTGTTTTATCTCTAAATAACCAAAGGAAAGACAAGGACCAAAGCCTGTAAAGTTGAAGACAGGAACAAAAATAGATTGCTACATTCTAACAAGGGATAAAGAAACCATTACAGTATCTACATAGGCTAATTGACAAGGTGTGATGGTCCAACCAGGCATGTGACCAGGCAAAAGGCCAGGATAAGCCCAGGCACCTTGTCAACTAGATGCAATTAGCTCTTGCTAGTAACTCAAACCATATGTAAACACCAAGAACATTCAGGCCATACTTCTAAACCAAAAAGTGGACCCTATGTGATAGGCTTGGGTTTCAGGTGGGCACTCAATCTGGAGATATCTCTGTGTACTGAGACCGACCCATTCACCCATAAAGGAAGTTATTCTTTTTCTAATGCACATGACCTCCTACAAGTTCCACAGATTCTAAAGCTAAACCAATGTATGCTAGATGTTTTTGTTTCTATAGTTTTAACCACAATATACGTACCGATCTTACACATCTTGGATATTCAAATCTGCCATCTATACACTGTACTCTGAATGGAGGAGAAGTACGATCTGGACGGTAGCCCCATCTACAGATAAATTCTGTGGAATCTCCAGATTCTGAATACAGTTTTGAGTCGTATTTCCACTTTAACTGTATATTGTTCATTTTCATGTCTTCTTCACTTGCTGTACAAGGAACTGCAAGAAGAACACCAGTTAATCTATCTGACATTGAGGTTTGTTGATTTTTTTAAAAAAGACAACTGTCCATGTGATATCAAAAGTGTATATAATAATAGGTTAAGGGCTTTACATATTCACTCTAATTCAAAAAATGCTAGAAAATTAATAGCTCTTCAGGGCTACATCCTTAGATAACAGTTGTGTTATTTAGGCAATATTGATGTGGTATTATAATTGCATGAAAGTGTAGCCATTTTATTGTGCAGAGCCAATCAACATTCTACAAAGCAATTCTAAAACTGGGCAGGAGGGGGAGGTAAAGCCTGGCATTCTTTTTTCCTGCTTCCAATGCAGGCTTGATATTGCAAGGTAATGTTAGACCATTTCCTAGCATTTTAAATTGTAAACCCCGAGTAGGTGGGACTCATCAGCCTGGGAAGGAAGCCCATCTAGGAGAAGGAAAACTCTGATCCCAAACCCCCATGCCGTGAGGAAAAGCAGGAGGTGCAACTCCTCATTCTGTTAACTCCTGCAACATTGCTGGAACCTATTGGCTTTGGGACTCATCAGCCTGGGAAGGAAGCCCATCTAGGAGAAGGAAAACTCTGATCCCAAACCCCCATGCCGTGAGGAAAAGCAGGAGGTGCAACTCCTCATTCTGTTAACTCCTGCAACATTGCTGGAACCAGTTGTATTGGCTTTTGCCTTTCCAGTGGACTATTTCAGCGATGTGGAGAGGGGGGGGATTTGCTGCTTGGGTAACAGCCTATCCTCGATATTATTTTACCCAGGCTTCATGCTCTGCAGAGGACACTCCACCTTTGCAAACAGCGTCGAAGTCCTCCATACAGAGCACGTTACCATGGTCTCTCAAGATTGAAGGATGCCTCTGATGATGAAATTGTAAATGCAGAAACAATATCCACATTCAAAATGATTTTTGAACGACTGGATACAAACAATTCAATTCTTCAACAATCATCCGGTTAATTAATGTGGGATATTGTACTCCTGTACCCATGATGCAAAACCTAGGAAATGGTCCAGTATTACTGCACAATATTATGTGTGCATTGCCAGCAGGAAAGGATGCAAAGATATACATAACAAAGAGCAATCTGAATATTAAAAACACCAACAGCAGCAGTTAAGAGAGCCTAGAGCAGTGGTCCCCAATCTTTTTAATGCCAGGGACCAGTTTTGTTGAAGACCATTCTTCCAAGGACCCCGAGGGAGAGGCTGCCACTGCTGGTGCCCATGAATGGGGGGAGCGTGGGGGGCATCCATGCATGGGCCTTTACTGCTCCTGCCTCACCGACCCCCCATCCCATGTCTACTGCTGCCGGCCTGGCACCCTTAAATCCTGCTGCCCACAGCCCGACTCTGACAAACACCTCCCCAGCTCCAACACATCTTCGGTGGAAACTCCGCACACCAGGGCGCTCTGGCAAGCCCGGAGGGGGCAAAGTGAAGGGGTGCTCCTCTCACCCACGCAGGAAGTGGAGAGCGCCAGCCAGTTGATGGGGTCACTGGGTTCGGAAGGGGTCTCCCAAATGGTCGCTCCCTCCCTGCAGAAGCCCGGAGGTGCCACTGCCGCTGCTGCCCGTGGGCTTATATGGCTGCCTCATCCTAAAGCTCCTGGCTGTTGATGGTCTGCACTTCTGCCGCCTCCACCAGCACCACCTCTGCCGCCTGCTTTACCGCCACCTTGCGTGATGGCTCCTTCGACGCCCCCGCCCTGAGGAGCCCGCAGGTGGAACAAGCAATGGGAAAGGGCGGCTGGCCGCCTGTGAAGGGGGCAGGGCTCCGAGACCCCAAGGGATGGAGGTGGATCCACCCTGTGCTGAGCTGAAAGGCCTCGATCATGTCTGCATGACATCAACGCCCATGTCCCATCGAAGAAAATGGCATCGCATGTGGACCACGAGGAGACTCCCATCCTCTCATTGCCTTCTCCCCCAAAGCAGGTCTCGGATCTCTGCTGGTAGGGCAACTTTGGGAGGGCAACATATGAGCCACCTCAAGCTTATATGTCGCTTGCCTCAGGAGTGGAAGGGGGTGGTTAGCAAAGGCCAGTGGTGGGAACAAGGGGCCTAGACAGGGAAAGGGATGCTGTGCTGGTGGGCTACCGTTCCACATCCTTGGCAGTCTAAAGTAACTCGGAAGCATGGCACAGCGCTCGCACAAATCAGCTGTGTGGCGGTGAGTGCATGTGGGGGGGTCTGTCTCCGTGGCCCAGTCTGGCTCAGGCCACAGATGAGCACTGGACTGTGGACTGGGGGTTGAGGTCCTCTGGTCTAGACCAGTGGTTCTTAACCTTGGGTAACCCAGGTGTTCTTGGACTGCAAGTCCCAGAAGCCCCAACCAGCATAGCTGGAGGTGAAGGCTACTGGGAATTGCAGTCCAAGAACACCTGGATTACCCAAGGTTAAGAACCACTGGTCTAGAGCAGTAGTTCTTAACCTTTGTTACTCAGATGCTTTTGAACTGCAACTCCCAGAAACCCCAGTCAGCACAGCTGGTGGTGAAGGCTTCTGGGAGTTGCAGTCCAAAACTCCTGAGTAACCCAAGGTTAAGAACCAGTGGTCTAGAGGATCCTCTCTTGTGCTCATTAGCATTCACTCTTGTTAAAAATTGCCCTGACAATTGCTTTGTGTTTGGGGAGAAGTGGTTTACTGATGTAAAAAGGAGTCAGCTCCTGGGATTTTCCCTTGCATGGTGTTACTTTGTGAATGGTAGTGGTGCTGGGGGATTACTGTTCAACAACTTAACCATTAGCCTGTGGAATGTCTCAGGGTTCCATGATTTTGTTTGTTTGTTCAGTCATTTAGTCGTGTCCGACTCTTCGTGACCTCATGGACCAGAGCACGCCAGGCCCTCCCATCTTCCACCGCCTCCCGGAGTTGTGTCAAATTCATGTTGGTTGCTTCGATGACACTGTCCAACCATCTCATCCTCGGTCGTCCCCTTCTCCTCTTGCCTTCACACTTTCCCAACATCAAAGTCTTTTCCAAGGAGTCTTCTCTTCTCATGAGAT